ATTTGGGAGTAAAAAGAAAATAAGAAATAACACATCAGTCTCTTTTAATTTCTTTTTTTGTTTGAAAAAAATGGGGAATGAATTTGTTTACCATCCTGACGGCTTATCCCAAACAGTTTTTAGAATAATGACGAATCTTTTTTATACATTTGACGAACTACCACCTTGGCTTTCTAAAGGGGAAGTTCATGGCAGAGATATGCTCTTTTTAGTTATGGACACTCTTTCTGATTAAAATTAAAAATAAACATACATGACCTGGCAATATATCATTTGTTTATTACTCACAAAGAGTATGTCAATTACTATTTTTCATTCTTAATATAAGATTTCATTTAATTTTTATTTTATTTATAAATATAAGACTCCAATCCACTTTGTTTTCAATATTTAATTTTTTTTTCAAGGTAATCCTTCTAATAATGATAGTTCTAGCCAATATATTTGATTAACAAGGATATTTTAGGAAAGACAATGCTTATTTATTACAAATAACTAAGTTACTTCTTTTTTTAATCTATTCAAATTAGTCAACTAGCTCTTATATTTAGAACCAGAAGTAATATATTGAAAAGATTATACTCCTCCACTTCTATTTATAAGGTTAAGAGAGAATGATTTTTTTTATTCTATTTATAAGTCACTCTATTAAATTTTTCACATAAATGTATGATTTTATTCTCAATTTATTATTGTGTTAACTTTATTTTTATAGAATATAATGTATATTAAATAAGAATAAAATTAGAAAGTTATTGAATTTTAAAGTGTAAAACTGACATGTTAAAAAGAACTCATAAATAAAATCAGATGAATACACAAAAAGGCTGCATTGATACACGTTACAACAAGTGTAGTTCATCACCAATATACTCAACCTTAATTAAAAAATTTTAAACGTAAACACTACCGATTAAATTTAGACCGCGGAAGTTGTTTTCGAAGCAAATGAGCACCAAATCCGAACCAGTGGTTTGGACGCTTGACAAACTTGAAAGATTCCAGCCACCTAACAAGTACTCCAACAATTACTCACATTACGAAAGACATTTTGCAAATGGGGAAATGACTCATTTCGATGCATAAAAAAAGGGAGGGAAATGACGTAGGGGGGCAATGAAGAACTATGCATTCATAGAAAAATAGATCAAAGTTAACAAAAATGAACGAATTTGTCAATACTTAATTTAAAAATATTTAAAAAATTAGTTAAATTGGTTATTTGTTATAAATGTATGCTGGTCTTTCTTAATCAGTTATCTTCTTTAATTATATGCATTAGAATTACTCTTTAGTAAAAATTTCTGATAATTAATAAAGATCTTTTTGAAAAAAAACTTTAAATAATATTGGATAAGGAAAGTTTCCGTGAATAAAGAAAATCTAAGAGCATGTGACGACGCTGCATTGCGAGGGGAGATGGTTGGGTTTTACAGTAAGGGAACAAAACAAGGCATCATTATTAAGTACAGAGAGAACAGGATTCCATTGCAGCTCACCAATGGATTAGAGGAATCTAATAATTTATATATAGTAGTAACTCTTATCTTTAATACAAGAATACGTTGATTAATTTAAGAAGATTAAGAAAATTTGTTAAGTTTGTTATTTATAATAAATAAATGTTATTTTTTTTAGAATATCCCAACTAGTTATGTTTATTAATTAGAACTACTATTTGATGGCACATTTAACATGAATAAATAAATATGAAAAATAAAGTAAATTAGAGTTTTATATTTAAGATCAAATTAAATATCAAACTAAATTTTATATTATAAATGAAATATAGTAATTTTGGAATTGTTAATGATTTGATAATTTAGTAATTTAATTTTGCAGCCAACACACGCCACTCACCGTTAAAGCCTCACCTATATTCTTTGCTTTCATTGCCTGCAACCCCTTCTGCAATTTTTATTTTTTTACTTTGATTTATACAACCAACTTTTAGGAATAAATAAGTTCCTTTTTTTTTTTTAGGTGGACATGTTGGGTTTATAAGTCGAGCTTCGTCAATACACCCCAAAATATATATATATATTCTGATTCTCGTTTGCGATATTTCATGATCGTGTCTTTATCACTCATATAGTGGATCTCATTTGGGAGTAAAAAGAAAATAAGAAATAACACACCAGTCTCTTTTAATTTCTTTTTTTTTTTTTTAAAGAAAAAAGGGAATGAATTTGTTTAAAATACTGATGGATTATCCAAAACAGTCCCTAGAATAATGACGAATCCTTTTTATACATTTGACGACCGGTACCTTGGCTTTCTAAAGTGGAAGTTGATGGTAGTGATGGACACCCTTTCTCACTAAAATTAAAAATAAACAAAACTAATGGATGGAAGATGTTAATACTACTTCTCGTTCTAATTATAAAATTTTATTTATAAACTATAAACGAGATCTTATGATACTTCCAGTTCTAATTAAAAAACTTTATTTATAATTTATAAACGAGGTCTTATAATTAAGACTGAAAGTAATATAAAAAACACGTTTTGTTTTGTTTTTCTGAAGACGCATTCTTTGAAATCGTTGTGCCAGAAATTTAATTTCAGTTAAAACATGCATGACCTGGCAATATAACATTCGTTTATTACTCACAAAAAGTATGTAATGCTGACATAATTTAGCAGTGTATACATGCACCAATAAGATTATCGTCCCTATTTCTATTTATAAGGTTGAGAAAGAACGATTTTTTTATGATGTTTGTAAGTCACTCTATTAAATTTTTTATATGAATGTATAATTTTATCTTTCATTTATTATTGTTTTAATTTTATTTTTATAAAATATACTGTATATTAAATAAGAATAAAATTAGAAAATTGTTGAATTTTAAAATGTAAAATTAACATGTTAAAGATAACTCATAAATAAAATCAGATGAATACACAAAGAGGCTGCGTTGATACACGTCACAACAAGTGTAATTCGTCACCAATATACTCAACCCTTATTAAAAAATTTTAAACGTAAACCCTACCGATTAAAATTAAACTGTGGAAGTTGTTTTCCAAGCAAATGAGCACCAAATCCGAGCCAGTGGTTTGGACGCTTGACAAGCCTGAAAGATTCCAGCCACCTAACGAGTACTCCAACAACTACTCACATTGGCGAAAGAGATTTTGCAAATGGGAAAATGACTTATTTCGATGTAAAAGGAAAAAAGAAAAGAAAAGAAAGGGAAATGACCTAAGAGGACCATGGAGAACTACGCATTCATAGAAAAATAGATCAAAGTTAACAAAAATAAACGAATTTGTCAAATGTGCCACTTCCAGTTATTAACATAACAGTTAAATAATTAATTTAAAAATATTAACAAAAATTAGTTAAATTGATTGTTTGTTATAAGCATGTGTTGACCTTCCTTAATTAACAATCCTCTTTAATAATGTCTATTCAAATTACTCTTTATTAAAAACTTCTTATAACTAATAAGGATATTTTGAAAAAAAAATAGATTAAAGTATTTTATTTAAAATCAAATCTTATAACTAACTTTTATGTTAAGATAATAATTCGCACATATTTCAGTTATACAAATTACAAAACTCAATAGTAGAAGTAAAACAATAAGCTACAAACTCTAGCAATAAGGAACTCTCAAATTAAAACCATATATATTATTGATTATTTTTTCTGTACAGAATTTTGATGGAAATGATCCAACTCCTATTAAAAATTATTTTCTAGCCAAACTTATGTGAATACAAAATGAATCATTTTCATCTATTTTTGGGGCACTTTAGTCCTTGGGTGCGATCTTATCGTGACGTGTCAGTCTCGGTTGGAAATGAGGCGCAGGTTAGCGAGATAGGGGAATGTGGAGAGTGGGGCGCAGTGTCCCACAGAGAGGCGGTTTTCAAAGTGTCGGAAGCAAGCCACCCAATAAAGTCCCCTCGTGGATGGTGCCCCTTCCTTTAACAATTAACATGGTCCCCTTCCTCTCCCTTTTTAGTTTTTCCTGCTTTACTCATTCTATTTATCAAATATTTCTAACATTTTTAAATATCATAAAATTATTAAAATTTATCAATTTTATTTCAAAAAAATTAAAAGAATCCCTCATTAAAAATTTTATTCACAAGAGGCACCTGATGAGTTTTTACGCAAAATATCAGAAAGCACGTTTATTCAGTCACCATTACTTAAATGTGGGTATTTTTCACCAATCAAAGTTTTTATATTAGTATTAAATGGGAATAAAAATTGTAATAAATAATCTGAAAATGATCTAAAAAAATTTCAAATCCAATTTTTTTTAAAAATAAAAATCATATTTACCCAATATGTTAATTATGCACATATTTGTTTAGCTTTAGTTTATTTTATCTTGCTTTCTGTAGTGATGCTTATCTTTCACTTTCACAGCACCATGACACCACCGACTGGCATTGACAAGCCAATTCTCTCTCTGTTTTTTTTTTTAATTTCACAACTTATTTTAAAAATAATGTGTGGACTGTGGAGCATACAAATTATTAGTAATTACTACCTCCGGTCCTAATTATAAGACCCAGTTGACTTATTTGAGGAGATTAAGGAAGTAAGTTAAGTTAGTTATTTGTAATAAATAAGTGTTGTCATTCCTAAAATATCCTTGCTAATTAAGTGTATTGGCTAGAACTATCATTATTAGAAGGACTATCTTGGAAAAAATTGCATAAATATGAGAGACAAAATGGATTGGGGTCTTATAATTAGGACCAAACAAAAAGTCAAACGGGGTTTTATATTAAGGACCGGAAGTAGTATAATTATAAAGCTCAAATTGCAAGAATGCCCCTTTATTATATTCCATTATTCCCTGAGTCATCTGGCACTGAAGGGAAAGCGAGCCCCGGGTTTTACAGAAACAGAGCAACCGTATTTAATTTTCACAACCCCCCATTCCAGCACCAACTTGCTCCAACAATTTTGATTATTCTTAAATCTTCACTTTCCCATCTGTTTCTTTCTTTCACTCAACTCAACACAAACCTAGACAGCAATTTACCTTACACCCAAATGGGATCGACCCACGAGCTTTAGAATCCAAAGCAACTCCACATATAGCCACTTTCAGCTCATACCCACCTCAATTATGGCCGCTTTTTCCACTCCCCATTCCTTCACGGCCTTCACCTTCCTCGTCTTATTCTTCAAAATCGTAACTTCCGACCCAATTTCATCGTTCTCTTTCCCTGATTTTGACAAGGATCTGAAATTTGAGTCCAATGTTGCCCTTTTGGGCGGTTCAAAGGTCGTCAATGGTGGTTCTGCGGTTCAACTCTCTGGGTCTGAGAGCCGAGGAGGAGTCATGTACAAAAAACCCATCAAGCTTATTGGAGGTAAACCAAAGCAATTGATCTCTTTTTCCACTGATTTTGCATTTTCGATCTTGTCGGTGGATGGGGATGGTTTGGCTTTTGTTATGGTTCCGAGTGGTCTTCAAGATGATTTCTTTAAGAAAAGTCCATCTGGGATTTCTTCTTCTCAATTGAGCAAAAGAAAATCTATGGTTGTCGATGTTAAATTCACCGCTGAGTTTGGCAGCAGAAATGGTGGGTCTGCTCATTGTAATGTGGCCATTAATGTGGGTGATTCAGCACCAGCAAAAACACGCAATACCTCCTCTTTGAAGATGGCTCTAAGAAAGGGACAAAAACTTCACACTTGGATTGATTATGAAGCAAGTTCACAACGCTTAGAAGTGAGATTAAGTCAGTATGGTCACTCCAGGCCTGCGGATCCCTTGATTTGGTATTCAATTGACTTTACAAAGATATGGAAAAAGAGTGAAATGTTTGTGGGGTTTAATTCTGTGAAGGGAAATAGAAGTTTTCAATCCCAACCTTGTTCTCTACATTCATGGAGCTTCAATCAAAGGCCTTTTCCAAATTGGATGCACTCAGAGCCTGTGGATCTGAAGGCTCTTTCTAAGAATTCTGAAACTGCAAAAGTGAAACCAAGGAGCGATTGTGTTCTGAGAGTTCTTGCTGCTATGATATTTGGTGGTGGATGTGGAGCATTGACTGCATTTGTTGTGCTGTATTTGTGGACCATCTTCGGCAACCGGCGTCCAGTGGTGCCGGAGGAGTTTGTCGGGGAGCAGCCTGTAGATTTTGAGTACAAGAAGGTGAGCGTAGTTGTAGATAAGGCCATCAAAGATGGTAAGGAGTAGATCTGGATTGGGAAGCATTTGTGCTGTACATTATTGTTTCTTGTTTATTTTAAGGTTCTGGTCTTGTATTGTAGTATGGTAAAACAACTATCCAATTATATTCCTCCTATTGTTGTCTATTTGCATATTGAGATCCAACCTGGCATTACCGATTGCATATAGTTAGCTAATGTTAAATGATTCGCACCTTATATGCTGCATTTTGTAGATAGATTTTTGCCCAATACTAATGTGGTTTGAAATATAACATTGGAACCTTGTACGAGTCAAAGGGCAAGAAGAGTGAAAAGATGAAACCATATTCTTGAGTCTTGACGTTGTATGTTGTCATTCCTTTATTGTATAAGAGGAGTGAAAAGATGAAACCATATTGTTGACGTTGTATGTTGTCATTCCTTTATTGTATAAGAAGAGTGAAAAGATGAAAGCATATTCTTGACGTTGTATGCTGTCATTCCTTTATTGTTGTTATTATTATTTTTAAATTCTCTGGCTTTGGAGAGAGTTTGAGGACTTGTAAGGGGAAGGATTAAGTAATAAATTTTAACCAACAAAAAATATCGCAATGAGAATGAAATAAAATCCATGGATATAAAATAATGCTTGTGGTATGACACAGAGTAAAAATATCTTCCATATTTTAAGGTTTGAAAGATTAGAATAATGCATCAATGAAAATGAGAGGTAAGAAAATGAACATCGTATTCTTTTCTAGTCAAAGAAATATTGAAAAATTAGTCTGTTAATTTAACAAGAAATAGAAGGAAAAATATTGTTAATGATTTTCAGTTGAATACACACACACATATATGTTGGATGACTTTGATCTGTCTCTTTTGTGACCTTCCTCATCCAGGTCATCTAACGCCATCTAAAAATGATTAAGTAAGAATTTTTTAAGAAAAAATTGCAAATAAAGACTTCCTAATGTATAAAATTATGATTTGGAACTCTTAATTTGGAAAATAGTAAATAAGCACCTGGTTTCATTTTTGTAAATATGAAATCGTGGTGAAATATCTGAAATGCCTTTTAGTCGAATGACAAGTTGACTATAAAAAATGATAAGTTCACTTTAGCCAATAACAATTTTAATAGATCAAATCACAACTTGGTTGAAGGTATGTCAAATGACGAGTTGATTATGGAAAATGACAAGTTCATTTTAGCGAATAACAATTTCAATAGACTAAATCACAATTTAACTGAGGGACATTTTAGACATTTCACCAATATTTCATATTTGCAAAAGTGAGACTCAGTCCTTATTTGCTATTTTTCAAACTGAGGGTTCCAAATCATAATTTTACATATTGAGGGGTCTTTATTTGTAATTTTTTATTTTTTATTGTTAGTCAGATGTTGAAAATTCGCAATAATATATATAAGAGAGTATCTAATTTTAACCATAATTTAGTTTTTATGGATCTCTCTTCTGATTATAATCGGTTCATGGATATTTTCATAGTGAAATAAATAAAACCTGAATATACGGAAAGGTGAAAAATTACGAAACGGCAATAAAAATTTGTCTTTCTAACACTTTCTATTCTTATCTGTTGTCTTGACTCATCTCTTTCCTCTTCACTCTGACATTCAGAATTCCTCCTGATGAATAAGAGCCAGCCTGAAGTTGTCCGATCTTGATCAATTTTGAGGTCCAAGATTCACAAATTTAATTCCCCAGCTGATAGATTTTATCTCTCTCTAGTATCAATCAAAAGAATGCATATTGGGTCCGTATAGACATCAACATTTGAAATATATATTAATCAAAAGAATTCAAATTTTGATGAAATAAATTCAATTCCTGCGCTTAGAGCTCATACGAATGAATGAGTAATCCATCCTTGTCATATTCACATGTCATTGTGTTCTTCTTCGTCTCCATAATCATCTTCTTCAGCAGTAGCATCTTGGTACTGTTGATACTCTGAAACCAGATCGTTCATGTTGCTTTCGGCTTCCGTGAACTCCATCTCGTCCATACCTTCCCCTGTGTACCAATGCAAGAAAGCCTTCCTCCTGAACATGGCCGTGAACTGCTCGCTCACCCGACGGAACATCTCTTGAATCGATGTGGAGTTTCCGATGAACGTGGAGGCCATTTTCAATCCCGTCGGAGGAATATCACACACAGTTGATTTCACATTGTTCGGAATCCATTCCACGAAATATGAAGAGTTCTTGTTCTGCACATTGATCATCTGTTCATCAACCTCCTTCGTGCTCATCTTCCCCCTGAACACTGCTGAAGCTGTGAGGTATCGTCCATGTCTTGGATCAGCCGCACACATCATGTTCTTCGCATCCCACATCTGCTGTGTGAGCTCTGGTACGCTTAAAGCTTTGTACTGCTGAGAATTACGAGAGGTCAGAGGAGCGAATCCCACCATGAAAAAGTGAAGCCGAGGGAAGGGGATGAGATTCACAGCCAGCTTTCTAAGATCGGAGTTTAGCTGACCGGGGAACCTCAAGCAGCATGTCACTCCAGACATGGTGGCCGATATCAAATGGTTCAGATCACCAACTGTTCCTCAGGGGAAAAAAAAATTAACAGAGTACGAATCAAGAATCTCCATATACATTGAAATCAAACAGTTTAAACAAGAGGGAAGAAAGATCTTACAGCTTGGCGTGGTGAGCTTGAGGGTGCGGAAGCAAATGTCATAAAGAGCTTCGTTGTCCAGCACCATGCATTCGTCGGCGTTCTCAACGAGCTGGTGAACAGACAAAGTCGCGTTGTATGGCTCCACGACGGTGTCGGAGACTTTCGGGGAAGGAAAGACAGAGAAAGTAAGCATCATTCTATCTGGGTATTCCTCTCTCACCTTTGAAATCAACAGGGTACCCATTCCCGACCCTGTTCCTCCACCCAGAGAATGACACACTTGAAAACCTGCAAAATTACATCAAAAAACGATATTGTTTGATGGTTACATGTTCTTGTTGTACATGTTCAACACATATAAAATTGTCGGATTTATTACGAAGAAATTGATGAACAGAAATAAATATACGTACCCTGCAAGCAATCGCAGTTCTCTGCTTCCTTTCTCACAACGTCGAGAACGGAATCGATGAGTTCGGCACCCTCGGTGTAATGGCCCTTAGCCCAGTTGTTTCCGGCCCCGGATTGACCGAAAACGAAGTTGTCAGGTCTGAAAATCTGACCGTAAGGTCCGCTTCTGACGCTGTCCATGGTTCCAGGTTCGAGGTCCATGAGCACAGCCCGGGGCACGAACCTTCCACAACTGGCTTCATTGTAATAGACGTTGATCCTCTCGAGCTGAAGATCGGAATCGCCGTTGCAGGTTCCGGTGGGGTCGATGCCGTGCTCGGCACAGACAACCTCCCAGAACTTGGCTCCGATCTGGTTGCCACATTGGCCGCCTTGAATGTGGAGGATTTCACGCATTGTTGAACCCAAGAGAAAAAAGAAGAACTGGTAAATTCAAGACAAGGATGAAGGGAAAATTGAAGAGTGTTTGTTATCTTATAAAACGGAAAGAACGGGTTAGAAAAATTGGATTTTTGGGGTGAGTTTTGAAATAGCAGGGGAGGAGGAATGAGGGGGATTTTGATTGGTTGCATGAGGGTCATGACCTGTTGTTTTCTTACCATATCTTGTTTTCTTTACTATTTTTAAGGGCCATTTAAAATTCCCATTTTTGGAAAATGAAAATTGACAACTGCCCAACACAAAAACAGATCCCTCACCCTTCTTCTTCCTTGCTTTTGTAAATTTAATTTCTTATATGAGCTTTGTCGATCATAAATATGTTAATGGTTAAGTTGATAATAAAGGTATACATTTTTTATCACACGAAAAACCCAAACTACAAGAAAATCATTCTTAGGTGAGCCATACCCAAGATATCTCTTCAAATCCAGGTGTGCCCACAAAGTGTAGATCTATGATTCATCCACGTACATGTCCCTTGGTTCATCATGCCAAGTGAAATAATCAATGTATAGTATGAATTGGAGTTTCTTTTTTTTTTTTTTTCGGACGGCGTCTTTGTCTTTATTTTTTTTGAGTTTTTTTTTGACAAAAATTTTAAGAAGAGGATTGAGCTCACTCATAGATAGGACAGCATCATAGCTTAAACTAGGACGGAGAAAGCTCCACGTGAAGGATCATTGTATGGTACGAGCTGAGGTCTTAGTTTCGGTTTTATCTTTTTATAATACTACACATTAATTATATTTTCCAACATATTTTTATTTCTAATTTTTTTTAAGGAACTCGCATTTCCAATTATCCTGCGCAGGGCAAAAAAAGGAACTTTTTTTTTAAAAAAATTTTTTTTTTGACCAGCAAACAAAATAATTTATAGTAACTATGTCTAGGACGTGGGTGAACGGAGGCCGCGAACAGATGGCAGCAAGGCGGAATCACCACCGCTCAATCATCAGACATTCCCATCCAACACGTCACAAAGCTCATCTCGATCACTCCAGACAAGAAAAGGCGAACCCTATCAACAAGTATCTACATCACACTCCCAATTTCGTCCATGTCTCTATATATTGGCGTGAAGCGCTCCGTACTCTACTCCAACCTCTCACCTTCATCTCGCAATTTCCTGCTCACCCCTTCCCGATTCATAATGGGTATGGTCTTTGGGAAGATCGGCGTCGAAACTCCGAACTACGAAGTAATCAAATCCACCACCGACTACGAAATCCGCAAATATCCACCTTCTGTTGTGGCTGAAGTCACCTACGAGCCATCTCAGTTTAAGGGAAACAAGGATGGAGGATTCACAGTTTTGGCTAATTATATTGGCGCTTTAGGGAATCCCCAGAACACTAAACCCGAGAAGATCGCCATGACTGCTCCTGTTATAACGAAGAACACAGAGAATTCTTCTGGTGGAAGTGAGAGTGAAGCCATTGCTATGACAGCTCCTGTTGTGACTAAGGCTAGTGAAACTGGGGAGAATAAGAAGATGGTGACTATGGGGTTTATATTGCCGGCCAAGTATGGGAAAGCTGAGGAGGCACCAAAACCGTTGGATGAGAGGGTGAAGATCAGAGAGGAAGGAGAAAAGAAATATGGGGTTGTGAAGTTTGCAGGAGTGGCATCAGAAACTGTGGTTGAGGAGAAGGTGGAGAAGCTCAAGAGGAGCCTGGAGAGAGATGGGTATAAGGTGGTCGGGGATTTCGTGCTGGCGAGGTACAACCCCCCTTGGACTTTGCCTCCTTTCAGAACTAATGAGGTTATGATCCCAGTTGAATGAACACAACATGACTAACAGTTTGATGTACTGCGTTGTTGGATAGTTTGTAAGTTTTGATATTTGAAAATCTGTGAATGTAAGAGATGTTTCCTTAAGAAGATAAGCAATGCTATAGTCTTTTGTGCATTGCTGGGTAACTTGTCAAGAGGATTGAGTGGCAGAAGGTTTGTAATCTGAATAGCTGATCGTATAAATACAGTTTAGTCCTTTTCTTTTTACCATGCCTTCGCTTATCATGATCTTTGATTCTGGAAATTGGAATGTGTTATATTATCAAGATCTTCGCTCAATCCTCAATTCCTGTTTATCATGCCTCCCTTTTTCATCATTGCAGAAATCAGTTTTCCTGAGTAAATTCTTTTTATAAATATGCTTCAAGAGTTCACATACAGATCTCTACGTGAGCTTTTATTAGCTCTTGATGCAAGAAATATTCTGAAGAATTCCTCATGACTCTATTAAGCCATGCTAGAGGACAAAGAAGACTGACTTGAGTGAATTGTTCCATGGTGAGTTTCCCTAATGAAAAATTTGTTGGCGAGTTTCTTTTGGCTTCCGATGCAAGGAATATACTAAAACTTTCCGAATCGAAATTGATTTAGATATTTCTAGTTCGATATCAGAGGCTGGACCAAGTATTGTGTATCATTATCAACCAAACCTAAAAGGCACGAAATTCAAAGGGGATAGAAGATGGTGTTTAAGTAAGGTACATCCCGTTGGGATGCAGTTTGTGCCTTTATAACATAAGAAGCACACAGACTTGCAATACCGCCGTCATTTGTTCTTATCCAGTGAGAACTGAGAAACTTCACTGAAATAGTGACGTTATTGAACAAAATAAGTGGAAGTCTCTAGAACTGACAAGCATGGATGAGCCCTATCACCTGCCCTTTGTCCTATAAGTTCTGTTAATCTCCATCCTCTTGGACGAAGGAAACTATTCAACATAGCTAACGCATTTGCAAATAACAGTAACCCCTTTAACAGTGTCCAGAAAACCATTTTCTGCCGTATTTGAATAAAGATACTCCTTAACAATTGAATCAATTGAAGTAAAACAAGCAGCTAAAAGCAGACATTGAGTGCACAAGTTAGAATGAGACAATGAATGATTCAACACCATAGGAGACGAAGAAGAAAACAGTTTTTAAGTAATGCTCTTCGAGTGCTTGTGTTACGACCAGTTGTATTATACAGGTATATTCTTGGTCACTTATTAGCCGAGAAACAGAGTAAGCATTGATGAAATGGAACCACTTGTAGGTTGCACTAGTTGCTTCACTTGTATGAACCAGGTTGATTGGGATTTCATGTATCAATGCTTCTCTGAAACGAATCACGCTGAGATTAATACTTCAAAACACCACATCAATGGAACAACCAGAACTAAAGTACAGATTTATGCCCTGCAGCTCAAAGCTCCTAATTATGCAGAACTGTATGTAGCGACGCAACACAAACCCATTTCGCATGTCAAAATCTTTGGATGAACTTGTGCTAATTATGATGCTAAACGGTTAAAATCAGAATAAAAACCAAATCTGTCATAAATAACGGTGTTTTTTTTTTTGCCAACAAATAACAGTGTGTGACAAGTATAATTATAAAACAGATATATATATTTATATATATATGGGGATAGAATTGACTTTTAAATTGATTTATTATTCTGTTATATGCATAAAATAAATATTTCAACTTATTATAATTTATTCAGTTAAACCTATCCATTTTAATAAAATGCTAAGTATAATTGTAGAATGATTTTTTTCATAAAAATATATTATTAAAAAATTAATACTCCTCTGTTTCTTTTTATAAGCTACAATTGTCATCTATTTCTTGTTCCTAAATACAAGTAATATTTGCCACTTGTTTTAAATTTTTGTCGTAAATTTTTTATTTTGTTCTCATTAATTACTTATTTTAATACTCAATATATTTGTTATCTCATTTTCTAAACCATCATCTCCTACCATCATACATTCTCTCCCTTTTATCATTCTCTTTATTATAATTATTTTTTATTCTTTTTCTTATACTCTCTATCCATAAATGAGGGTATTTTGAAAAAAAAAAACTTTCAATTTCTTCATATTTATTATTTTTGACTAATTTTAAGTAATTTTTTTTATCTTTGAGATGGAGTCTAAGATTATTTATAAAAAGTGAAGTAAGTTAAAGAGGGGTGTTTGAGTGAAAATTAAATCAAAATTTTAGAAGTGATTTTATAAAGTTTAAAGCAGGGGGTGTTCAATTTGTCGCGTCTCGGTTATGGTGAGTTCAGGACGGAACAAAAAAAATTTCAGGATGGGACAAGTACGAGACGAGAACAATGACTGGGAAGCGGGATGCGGGACGCGGTTATCCTGTCCCATCCCGTCCTGGGATATTTTTTTTAAAAAATTATTTATTACTAATTATTATTAGATTATTCAATTTACTTCTTAATAATAATTATTATTATAGTGATTTTTCGCTCTTAAGTTGTAATAGTATCTTAACAATATCTCCTTTCTCAATAAAATAATTCATAAAACCATTATATAGTGTTTCTTTTACCATATTTTTTTACAGTATTTTTTTTGCACTTTTTTATACTATATAATTGAGCTTTATACATAATATTTTTTATAATGTTTTTATCTTTAAAAACCCAATAAAAAATAAGTATTATAACATAAAAAATTTTATATAAAAAATTATTTTTTTTAAAAAAAGGGGAACGTGACGTCCCGTCCCGTGAACATCCTTAGTTTAAAATAAATATGTGAGAAAACTTTTTTTTCAAGGTGATTTTGAAATAACTGATAAAAAAGTGTCTATTTCCATATTAAAAGCATATAAGGCTAAATGCCCCGGCCCAGTGCGGGTACCCGAGTGGATATGGTAAACAGGCAAAGGATAATTCAAATATATAGTGACCCGATAGGATTCATCGGACGAAAGCTCAGCTCAGCTCAGTTCATCATGGATGAATTCTTCCATTAATCTATCAATGGCGTCATTTCATCTTCTTTCGTCTCCTCTTCCCTTTCGCTACTCTCAAGATTCTTTCTTCCATCCCTCAGAGCTGGGAAATGCGAGTTCGAAAGTTCTAAAATTTCAAATTCCTTTCAAATTTATTCCTTTTTACCAGATAAAGCTACCCCCAGTCAGAGTGTCCGTTAATGGCGACAATGGAGCTATTGAAACCCCGAGCCCAGCACGCCGAGGCAGGAAAAAGAAGCCCCAGTCTTCTCCCTCTTCGTCTTCCTCGTCTACCGCAGCAAAACAATCGAAGCGCTTGAAAAAGACCAAAGTCGAAAATGGCACATTGGAAGTGAAACCTGCGGAAGGAATAGCAAACGAAGGCGAAACAACTGAAGAAAGCAAAACCCCCTCTTCGTCCTCTTTGTATTCCTTTGCTGATTCTCCAGCAAAAGAATCCATGCGTTGGAGAAGAACCCTTGTCGAACTTGGCGCATTTCAAGCGAAACCTGCGATAGAAACAGCAAACGAAGCTGAAATAACAGAAGAAGAGGCAGAAAATTACGACGACGGTATGGATTTTTCTTATGACGACCCGCCATTAATATGCTGCTTCGGCGCTGTACAGAAGGAGTTCGTCCCCACAGTGCGGGTGCACGAATACCCGATGGACCCGGACATCTACTCGGAGTGGAAAATGCTGCAATGGAAGCCGCCGGAGTTCGGGAGGGCTCCGGGAGGACCGGTGTCGAATGTGGCGATTGCCCATGTCCGGCTCGGCGGGCGAGCGGCATTCATGGGAAAGGTTGGGGACGACAGTTATGGGGATGAGTTGGTTTTGATGATGAACAAGGAGAAGGTTCAGACGCGGGCTGTGAAATTTGATTCCAATGTGAAGACTGGATGTACGTACATGAAGGTGAAGTTTGAGGATGGGAAAATGAAGATGGAGACGACTAAAGAGTCGGCTGAGGATTCACTTAGAAGCTCTGAACTGAACCTTTCTGTTCTCAAAGAGGTGAGAGTTCATATGCCTACTTCTCTGTACTATGATTATTCAACTTAATCAAAACAACTTCGCTAATACTGGTGGGCTTTGGAAATTAGTATAGTGATTAAATTATCATTTGGTTGATGAATTTCTTTCTATAATAAGTGCATACCCATTGACTTCTTCGCTGCAGCTAAATTTCTGTTACTGATCTATCGAATTGAAACTTGAGAGACTGACGCAAACTAATAATATGGTTTGTGGGCACTTTATATCTGTGGTCTCTGTCTCTTTTATTTTTATCCCTTTTCGAATGTGTTGTATGCATTTACTTGTACGAACATAGAGGATAGAGATTGGTGGCATGGGAATTTTGTTTGGGTATCATGGTCGGGGATGCCTTTGGGCTTTATCTGAGACATCCTAGAAAAATTGAATCCATTTTTGGTAAGGAAAGATAATGTTTCATCCAACCATTGAATCCCTCTGAATTGCTGTAAACGGTTTTTTCTCTTCCATGTTTGATTCATTAACATACTAGTAAATTTGCCGCATAAGAGTAACATTCAATACTTTAAGAAATTATGAATTTCAAGCCCTATTGTTCCTTCTATTTCTATGTCCTTCTTGTTGATGATTTGGATCTTGCTGGTTAGGATAATTTTATGTGATTTGAATGCATTGGTGTAATGGTTGTTGCTCTTAACCAACTCAACAACTTTCTTTTCTGAATTACTGTAGGCAAGGCTTTTCCATTTCAATTCAGAAGTTTTAACATCCCCTTCAATGCAATCAACCCTCTTCAAAGCAATTGCATTGTCTAAGAAATTTGGAGGCCTTGTGTTTTTCGATCCGAACCTCGCTTTACCTCTGTGGAAATCACCTGATGAGACAAAAGAATTGATCAATAAAGCATGGAGTGAAGCTGACATTATTGAAGTCTCAAAGACTGAGCTAGAATTCCTTCTTGATGAAGAATATTACGAGAGAAAGAGAAATTACAGACCTCAATACTATGCTGAGAACTACGAAGAAACCAAAAAACATCAGCAAGATTATTATCATTACACTCCTGAGGAAATCTCTCCTCTGTGGCATGACAAACTTAAAATCTTGTTTGTGACGGATGGAACATTTAGAATTCATTATTATACCCCTAGTTTTGATGGGGTTGTGATTGGAACTGAAGATGTTCTAATAACTCCATACACATGCGATAGAACTGGTTCCGGCGATGCAATTGTGGCTGCTCTTATACGAAAGCTGACCTCATGCCCAGAAATGTTTGAAAACCAAGACATTTTGGAGAGACAACTTCGCTTTGCAGTTGCAGCTGGAATAATAGCACAATGGACCATTGGTGCGGTAAGAGGCTTTCCCACAGAAAGTGCTGCGCAGAATCTTAAAGAACAAGTCTACGTGCCTTCAATGTGGTGACAAATAGATGGTTTGTGTGCCTTGATATATAGTTTAGAGCTTTGATTCTGGGTATTTCTTGGTTCAAATGGTTTATCCAGATATTCTCCAAAAGTTTTTTTGGTGAATAGATGTTCTCCAAGAGTTTTAGTACTTCGGCTGAAACCAGAGAAGGTGGGAGAACTCAACAGTCACAGACTGGGACTCTAGATTGCATAAACTGTTTGCTCTTGTGTTTGGCTCCATTTGATTCATTCAATGACTCTCATAACAGTAAGTTTGATGCCAATTGAAAATTTTGTAGGTGAGAAATGGATTGTACACTAATATTTGTAATGCAATTGTAGGTGTTATCTCTTCACTCTCACCCTCATTGCTCATACCCTTGTGATGTTGTATTCCCATTTTCATGTGAGTCGACAACTAGGAAGTCCGTTCCCATATGCTTCACAAGGGCTGCAAATCGATGTCAAATTATCAATTATCGATAGCATTAAAATTATACGATCCCACATTCTACTGCGAGTCATGAATGGTACACGTGTCTAGTTCCTTGAAAACGTGGAGGTTGCCATGTTTTAGGTTTGAGATCTTTGAGAAATAAATATTATCTTGGGTTTTTAATATAATATCTACTTAACTAATTTGAGTATATTAAAAAAGTAGTTAAATTAGTTATTTGTTAAAAATGTGTTGGTTTTTTTAAAATAGCTTCTTAAATCATCTGGATTGATACTAATTTTTTATGCAATTTTTTTTTGACATATACAATCAAGGGGTTATTTTGAATAAACAAGGCGAATAAAATTGATTGAGATATTATATTTAGAATCAAATTTAACCTCTTGTTAGCTTTTATCTTAAGGATTGGAGGTAGTATAGCACAAGTTTATGTTGTCTAAAAACTTATTTTACATTTTGGTTTTATTTTAGCTCTATTGGTAAAACATCCTCCATTACATTACTAAAATTTTTAATTTGGATTGGTGATATTTAAAGGGCTTGTTTGTACTTGCTTGTGTTAAGTGTTTATTAGTATGTTTGCATAAACTGAGATAAAATTTTTTTTACATACTTACCTCGTATTCTGTTATTACTATTCTAAACAAGCATAAAAGCTACAGCTTAAGGCCTTGTGCCCGACCACTATTTGTATTGGTTCTTGGGCTACATTTGTGTCCAAAAGTTTCTGCCTTTCCTATGAAAAGTCGGGCCCAAAGTTTTTAAAAAAAATTGTAAAAGGTTATATTATTCACTATAGTTAAGGAACCAGTTTTAGTACTCATTATAATAATGAGCACCATGATACATATCAAATATCAATAGTACAAATTTAATATGGACGGCTAAGATTTAAATTTTTGTTTTTTATTTTTTGAAAAATATTTTCTTTTAATAGGTATACAATATAAAATATAATCTCTTAACTGTACGATTTTCAAAAAATAATAAATTTTATTTAAAAATCATAATTTAAAAATTTTAAATCTAAACCATTAAAACTGTACTAGAATGGTATAAATTTCATCACAATGATAAGTATCATGATATTCATCATAACAATGAGTATCATGATACTCATAACTGCTTTCAATGATTGAATAGTTTAACTTATTTTTTCGAGTCATTGGTCCTTTGTGTTCAATTACTATTTCAATTTTGAAAACATTGACAGTTTACCTCAAAATGTGATTTTTATTAAGTTAGGCGTGGGTTTGAAATTTATTTGTTTATATTAAGGAGCGAAAGCAATACATGGCAGAAAGAAAAGTACGCGTAAGTGTTAATAATAAAGGGCCCACTGGAATAAAAAGAAAGGGTAGTCAGATTTGGGGAAATTAGTGGCTACGTATACTCGGAAACTGACCGGAGTCTGAAGGCCCTGAGGGGGCTGTTAAGTTGGAAAGTGTAAACTAATGGCTGGATAATTGATTGTGAATGACTTTGAATTCTATAGAAGTAGGAGTAATGTACATGCATTTTAAATGCTTGACTAAGAAATGGGTTGCTACCTACTCTTTTATTTTTTTAAGGAAAGATATCTCTGTCTTTTGTATAAAATATAATTTGTAATGCACTATAAATTAAATCTTATATTAAATATCAGAGGTAATATATTATATTTTTATAAGTTATCAACATATGTTGATTTGAGATAAGCAAATAAAGGATAGAAGTACACAAATTAAATTGAAGCAATTTGCGGGGGAGGAAATTAATTGGTGGTACACGAAAGGAGAATAAATGCTTTACTTAAGCCTAATGAGTTAATTGTTTATGCATAAGATAAAATGTAGTATAGATAATTAATTATTATTTTTAGTCCTTAATATAATAATTAGATAACTAATTTAGAGATATTAAAAAAATTAGTTAAATTAATTATTTGTCACAAATATCTTAAACCATCATCTTTTAATAAGGTGCATGGGATGATTAAAATTATTCCTGGATGAAAACCTCTTACAATCAGTGAGAATATTTTAAAAAAAAGATGAAAGAAAAAATAAATTGGAGTATTATATTTATAATTAAATTTAATTCTTAACTAGTTTTTATATTAAAAACGAGAAGAGGTTGAAAGTTATTTAAATATTTTAAAATATCAAGTTTGTTAAGGTCTCCTGCATTCTGCATTTTATTCGTCGAGTTGGTTCTTTAGGTTTTTTATCTCCTTATTTAACAAAAAAAAAAAAAGAACTCTTATGGGACCTTTTGAAGCTTCCATGATTCCATCACTTCGACTCCGTCGCTCCATATTGACTTCACTTGCATTAGCTCAGCTTGAAGAAATTCCCACAAAGTTTATCAATGTCACCGATAAATGACTTTTCTATGTAGACTTGTTCACCCCCACACGCTTTCTCAATACACTGTACATGGAATTTAAAAGAACAAATCATGCTGTGCTACTTCTAGATAATGGGATTTATTACAGGTGTGATCTCTACATATTGATATATTGGATTCTGAAGAGTTCAAATCTATTCTTCATGATTCAAAATATAGCTATTTTCTGATCTAAATCTTTAGACTGGCTTGAATTATTAGTTAGATTATTTTACTAGTACATATCTCACGTCCGTAAATTCATTTTAGAACTTTGAAACATAGACACAAACTCGGAGAAGGTTAATTCCTTCTAGGAATTGATTTGTAACTAGGAGAGATGGCCTTTTCTCAGCATAGCTGGCACGCAATGAAGAATAGGAGAAAAAACTGATGAAATTACTGTATATTGGAACCAACCGGCAATCACGGGCGTCTCCATCCAAAAACGAAGGGAAAATTATGAACAAGCATCAAATGGAACGTATGAATCTAATCTCCTAAGCTAAACTGTACGGGAAAAAAATTAAAAAGCAGAATTGCAATCAATTTGCAACTTCAACACCCCCCTTTTCCAATAAAGAATCAATGAATCAGTGGGACAATACTCCCTTCTGCTAGATGTCTATCTCCCAAGTATAAACTAACCTCCTTAAATTATACACAGCCCCCTCTACTTTCCTCCTTCGCCTATAAATCTTTTCCCCATTCGGTTTGCATCAACCAAAATTCGTCTCTTTTGAATCGTATGGCAAAAGCCCCATATGTCCTTCGATCCTTCCGTGGCACATTAACCAAAATAACTAGCCTGAATAAGGAAAGCACATTGCCACCTCAAGTGATGTACTGCTGCCTTTTTAGGCACTGGCGTAAATCTATCATCTTGGGCTAGTCATACCAAAATCCAGTTACCCTCTTTGGGTTTTAAGACTAAGCTTCCGGCTTTGGTCAAGTTTAAGTCTTGTAAGCAGCTCCTGAGACTGGTCACAGATACAACCTGGGAAGGGATTAGCGAAAAAGCTCTCCTCTGTCCTTGGTGAATCACCTGGCTGTCTGAGATAAGGTGCACCTACCCTGTTTGAATGTATATCTTTAACCTTGGAAGAAAATTTTTCCCAAGATATAGCACCCTTATCCAGCTTATCAATCAGTTTTACAAATCTTAATCTGGAAATGAAAAAGGAAACGAAAAACCTCTCAGAAATGCATATTGTATAAAATTTTCAAAATAGGGACACGTATTTGGCATTGAGAACTGACCTGTCAGGATTTATAGTCTTCCTGAATCCCTCAAACCTCCTATGGCCCTGCACTGCCTTAGCCATATTTCCATCATAAGTGTAGACAAAGACATCACTTTCCAGGGCAACAATGTAATCCAATGCAGCAAGGCGATTTTGATATGGTTTGAAGGGCTCCAGTTCTTCCTCTGTTGTCAGGGTTGAATGAGTGAATACGTTAGGGTACTCAGATCGGAAGGCATCTAAACTGTTTCTTCCATAGATCGGCCCTGCAACTATGTAGATTTTTGTTGTAGAAGGGTAGCCCATGGCTTTGAGAAAAATGGTCGCCTCTCTAGGGGACATAGGGCACCCCCCTTGCAATCGTCTTTCAATGGCATTGATCTCTTTCTCCTTCCAGTGCTTAGTTTCATACCTCATAGTCTTGAGTTCCATAGCCTCCTCTGCTGTGAGGTTATGACTGCATCCGGTAAAGGCCAGCATGTCTTTCTCATATCTATTACAGAAGAAAGAATCCAAACAAGAAATGTCAGTTTGGCGGCTCATAACTGAACGAAGAACGGACAACAAATGGGTGAAACTACACGATGATACCTTAAATGAAGGGCAATATATGGTTCGTTATTGGATCTTAGCCTGTTGACCAAAATTTTTCCAAGCTCTTCAATCTCTGGTGAGTACCTGAGAGCTTCGTAATTGGCACGACATCTGAGCTTCTGAATATGAGAAGCAAGGCCGTTATTGGCAAGTCTGGAATCTGTGTGAGTAAAATGTATGACCTTGTGTCGCTTCAACAACTTGGAAATCTCGTTTCTGTAATAACTAGCCTGCAAAACAAGTATGTAAGTAAGACCACTCCACATTTCTTGAATTGTGTGAATCTAGTCACATAGTTGGATTATTTCCACACCTTTGACCAGGAAACAGGAGCCTTCATAAGCGGTTTAACATTTGCATGCTCGGCAGGAACATACTCGACTATGTCAATGTCGTCTTTCAAAACATTCATGAAGTGCCTCCAGTCAAAAATATCTTTGAAGTCGCTGAAATATATCAGAGGGGCTATTATATATGTTTCGGAAAAGAAGGATACTGTGAGGAGTCAAATTACGAGCACCGCACTTATGAAATCGAAAATTTACCTGGGATCTGTCCAAAAGGATTCATGATCAAGTAAAGGAAGAACCAGAGTGGCATTCATGAGCTTTGCAATTGCAACCATATCACATATCTGCAGGATAAAGCAGGTTCTGAGAATTAGCCATGAAAAGTATAATCTGGGAGGCTGGGAAATAGAACAATTATCACAATCTTATATTTCAGTTGATCTTACTCCTGTTCTCATTTGATTTAACCCGCCGTTAGCATGAACAAGCAGATAGCCATTTGTCTTTGTATCTGCCCCTGAAAAATTACAAAAGCGGAACAATGAGTCATAAACGTATACATTAAGCCCACCTACATATGCTTTATAAGAATTCAGAGCAGTCCTACATACTTATTCGCCTCCTGGGTCGAGAGATGCATTTATAATAGTTGCCAGTGTCGGGCTTCATCCATATTTCCTCAGTCTTTTGAAAAGAAAAGAAACAGAACAAGGAAAAGAAAGCGTTAAAAATCATGAAAAGTGAAACTAAAAGTGATATAGAGCTATAAAAATGACAGTTACATCATCATCTCTCAACTACGGGGTTTATATTCTATAAATAATGCTCATTACATCATCATCATCTCTCACAACTCTAGCGTGATATTCTATAAATAATACTGGTTACATCATCTCTCGCGACTCCTAAACCAGTCCAAATACTCAAAACGTTAAAGAAATAACAACCCCAGGCTCTCGTAACTCTGACCCAGATATGAAACAACATGAACTCTAAACAAATCCATTCAATTAAAGAAAGCTAAGTAATTAGCATATCAGAAATTTTTTTCATCATTTGAAGTCAAATTCAAAACCAACGCCATGAAAAACAGAATGAAGCCTATCCTTCTTGTATCCACAGTTATTCTAAATTTAGAAAGCTAATCGATATAAAACAGAGGATCTGGAAGAAACTTGAATCTGAGATTCTCGTTTAATGAAATAAATTAATGATCGGTAACTTCGTAAACAAAAGCAAGACGGGAAGAAAAAATCCAAAATCACTTACGAGTAATCTCTCAGGGACATGCTTGGGCAAGGAGGTTTCTCTCTCAGTGACGGCCCTCTGAGCCGATGCCCAATCCTGCTTGAACCTCTGCAACATCAATTGACCATTTTCTAAGCTCCTCCTATTAACCTCCGAGGCAACTCCTAGAAACGCGGCCTTCAAAAAAGCCGTCATAACCAACATCAACGTCAACATCCATAAAACTCTACGACTTATATTCTTCCCCGATCTCATCGACGCAACCACCATGGATGCCCAGATATAGAATTGCTCAATGCAGTGGAGGAGGCGCACCGGTAAACAGAAGAGCATCCGCGTGCGAAGCAGGATGTACCTGATGACGTGATGGCGTTGGGCGTGATAGTGGTGGAGTTGGGACCCGCCACCGGCACCAGATTCATTAGAGTCGTCTTCACCAACGTCGGAGTAATCAGAATAGCCAGACTGTTTCTCAGGGTCGGCAATATTGTCTGCGACGCGTCGTCTAGGCAAGGTGGGGCCGGCGATCCTTGGGCTTGTATTGCAGGAGCTGGTAGGGCCGCCGGACGACATGACCGGTGCCGGAAAATAACAATAAAACGGCAACCCCGAATCGGGAAACCAAGTTTTCGGAGAAAAGGAGAAGGCAAATTAATTAAAGAGAGGATTAGGAGAGAAGAAGGAAGAAGAGGTTTTTTCTTTTCTCTGTTGGTGTGGTGGCGATGAGAGAGAAAAGGGAGAGAGTGGGTTTTCGGTAATGGTATCGTGAGATTGGGGGGTGTGAAAAGGAGAACGAGAGAGGCTCCGAAATCCCAGGAGGGTGCTTCAGCGGAGGCAATGTGTCATTTTTCTCTCAGGTTTCAGTGTTCTGATATGCAACGTCTTCCTCTTCCCTCCCTTTCTCTCTCTCCCTCCTTCCCTCTCTCTCCCTTTTATATAACCGCGACGTGTTCTCATTCATGTGCCATTTAGATTCTTCAGAATGATTGTGATTTTGTGCATCGAAAAATCAAAACAGCTAAATTTTTAGAGCCTTATGACTTATTTGCCCTTTGATCTCAGATCTTAAATTTTAATTCATTTTATTTGATATTATCTCTGAAAGTGAAGCACTTCTATATCTTTCAACTATCATTATTTGATGATTTGGGGGGAAATGAGGATAAGCATAAAAAATCATGCTGAAATATGGTGTTGTTTTTTTTTTTCTTGATTAATTTATATTGAAGATCGTATAGTTCATTGATGCGTAATTTTGAAATACTATTTTGGAAATTATTTGATCATTATTATTAATTAATTTATCTCAAGTTCATGTATGAAGACGTGTGAGCGTGATATTCTGATGGATATTTTTTAAATTTGATATTAAACTAAATTTGATTTGAAACTGATTAAGATCAGATGCCTGATCTTATAATTTATAGGTGGTATCTATCATCTCCATTTTCTGCTCGTCTTGTTAAATGTACAGTTCAGATAAATTTTACCTAACTTAACAATTTAGGATCAATTAATGAGAAATTATGTTCATAAAATATTTTTTAAAATAAATCTAACGGAAAACAAACACTTTTAATATCTTATTACGCTTACTACCTATCTGCGTCTATACGAACTACTATAACTTATTTGTGATGTATTTGAATTTAATAAAAATAGATATAATTAATTTCAGATTACAAGTTTTCATTTCTTCATATTCTTACTATGACATTTTCTTAAGTATATACTATTCTAAGAAAAATGCCAAACTGAATATTTTAATCGGAATCCTTATCTATTTGTTTGGAAAAAAATATAGAGTCAAGTGTTTATTAAAAAATCATATACTTAGTCATATTTTCAAGACAGCTGCTTATCTTTTAATCAAAGGACTTGACAATAAATAAAAATATAAGTTTAAAAACTATAAATATGTTTATGTTTGAATCTTTCTTTTTCTTCTTTTTTTTTTTTTTGAATTTGTGACCCAGTTGCCTTTTTTGATTGATTACTAGTTTTAGTACGTAAACTTTAATATTGACTGTTTTGTGAGAGCTTTTAATCTAGACTTCAATTATAAATAAAGGTCAAAGCCTGGCTACAACTAAAACATTACTCAGGCCGAAAAAAATTAATTTTTTTTTAAGTGATTACAAAGATTTCCTAACACCCCAAACTACAAGGGCTAAAATCAAGTAAAATGTTCAGGCAAAAAAAAAATCAAGTAAAATGTATAAATATCAAGAAGATAAAATTCAATCACAAAGAAAACAAGAAACAAGATACTTCTAATTAAATTCTAAAACTACCAACAGATCGATGCTATAACGAACATATAATTAACATTTCTTGATTAAGATGCTATTTACTTACTACTTCTGATCTTAATTATAAGAGCTAGTTAACTAATTTGAAAAAATTAAGAAAATAAGTTAAATTAGTTATTTGTAATAAATAAGTATTATCTTTCATAAAATATTATTGCTAATTAAGTATGTTGGCTAAAATTATAATTATTAGAAGGACTATCTTGATAAAAATTATATAAATATGAGGGACAAAAAGAATTGGGATCTTATATTTAGGATTAAAATAAAAGTCGAATGAGTTTTTATATTAAGCACCGGAGGTAGCATTTTGAATCCGTAACACCATAAAGAAACCGACCAATAAATTCAAATTCAATAGAAACACACTATTTAATATATATTACCTCCGGTCCTAATTATAATAGCCAGTTGACTAATTTGAGGAGATTAAGGAAGTAAGTTGAGTTAGTTATTTGTCCTAAATAGATGTTATCTTTCCTAAAATATTTTTATTAATCAAGTGTATTGACTAGAACTATCATTGTTAGAAGGGCTACTTTGAAAAAATATATAAATACGAGAGACATAGTGGATTGAGGTCTTATATTTAGGATCAAAATAAAAATCAAATAAGATCTTATATTAAGGATCGGAAGTAGTATGACATAAAGCCATAAACTTAAGGGAATTTAACTGAAAGATTTTGATCACAATTTCGGTGTATGTGTATAATATGGTACGTGTAGGAGACGCAAAATCCACGTCCTTTAGGATTTGGTTATAATAAATTAAGATTAAGAAGTTCACGTTTTGGGAACTACGAATTCACTTTATATGCCAATGCCGTGCGTAGAGGCTCCATAATTAATCCCTTTCAAAATCAAAGTGTCTCATTAATCACAAAGTGTGACATTTACTCCTATCAAATCATAATCCTCTTTGCTTCTCAGTTAGGAAACGCGAGTTCATAATTGTCTGAAGATAAAGTTTATGTAAATTCAATTTAAAGTTTAAAAGATGTTTTACGCAAAGGTGTTCCCCTTGTTATTGCAGAGTCAATCCTTCCATCATGAAAACTAATTGACCACATAACTGCAGTCTAAAATCACTGGGAAACCAAGACAACGTAAAAAGGAAAAAAAAAAATCTTTCCTTTTCCTAAGACAATAATTTAAAATTAAATTGAGGCAAAAAATAAAGTTAATGACGAACACAAGTGTTTATATTATTTTCAAAATTTTCATTAAACTTCTTTTGGCCTAATAAATTTTTTTTTTCAAAATTCAAGGAATAATATAGGTGAATTGGCGCCACAAGTAAGGTAAACCGCTCACACTCTACATTAATTGGCATTGATTCATTTTACAGGCTTAAAGCCTTAAACTAATTTATCACAATCAAGAATTTGTAGTTAACTTCTTCAGTTGGTTTCAAGTTGGAAATTTTTTCCAACCTTGCTTATATTAAATAAGATAGTTAATAAAAGGAAAAAAAAAGAATTACATTTAGACTTTAATTGTGGAGACAAACTGACAAATGAGAATTAATTATTATTACTCTCCCAGTGACTTATATTAGTTAGACTAAACTATTATTTTAGAAGCAACTTCTACCGTGAATTGAAAGGAGTTCACATGATATATTAGTATATCTCAAACCAAGTACTAATTCTGATTTTATTTATAAGTTATTTTTAACATGAAAATTAATAAAAATCTTAAACCTTATTAATTCTATATTTAAATTTAACAATTGTCTACTTTTATCTCCATGCAATATATACATTTTTTTAAGAAAAATGATAATTTACACAATGATAAATAAATAACAAAAGAGTACATCCATTTCAAAACTTTGTCTTTAAGTTTAATCATTTTCCAATTCTATGAGTCTTTAATATATATACATATATTCTCTTATCCGATTTATAAGTTACTTCTAACATGTTTATACAGATTAATAAAAATATTAAATTTTATTAACTCTATTTTAAAATTTAATAATTTTTTAACTTTATCCTTATTTAATACGATACATTATACCTAATAAAAACCAAACCAATAGAATAATAAATTAGGGGTAAAATTATACATTTATATTTAAAATTTCTCTCTCTGTCTTATAAATATTATAAAAAAAACTGCTTCTCTCTTTATAAATAAAATCAAAGCAATTCTTCTTTAAAAAAAAACAACATTTTAAAAAATAAATTAAAAATAAAAGTATATATTCATATAATAAATTTGATGAGGCTGCTTACGTTAAAAAAAATATTCTGAAGAAATTTCTTCCTCCCTACCCTATAAATAAGATAGAGGAATATAACCTATAGTTTGTTTTTTTCTGCGGGCGAATCGTTGGTGGCTTTTTCCCCTTGCGAGGGACAAGTAAATAGGAATGAAGTACCCATGATTGTACAGAAAAAGGGAAGGACGGTTTAGGGATTTCATGTGAGAAGAGAGGGGTGCGGTGAATGCGTGTGGATGGGCCGACCCGTAGGTTTTGTTACATTGAGAATTTTCCTCGATGAACGCGCCGTTGAAAGAGAGATCGAGTCCAACTCCAAAAGGACCTGTCACGCTTTCGATTTGACAGTTTGACCTCCCCCGCTGGATTTCCTCATCCCGTGGGCCCATCTCTACCCTCGTCACTTGCATCCCATTCATTGGCCCACGTGTCATGTTACAGGAAATCCCGCATCCCCACTGGTTGTTTTTCCTCATAAATTTTTTCTCGCCGTACTCCTTTTTAAATACTATCCTGCCATTAAAAAATTATTTTGAAGAAGACTAAATTCATATTTTATGGATTAAATTCAAACAGTTATTGTCTTTAGAAAAGGGTGCCATCTCATCATTTCCATTCGAACCTCATGCTAAAAGTCATGTTTAACAATGTTTAAGGAAGGAAAAAAAAAAGGAGTGGGCTATGATAAAATGCATTAAGAACCAGTTTGAATAGCTTATAAATAATTTTTTAATAATAATTTATAAAATACAAAATAAATATGTAAAAAAAATTTTATTTTAATTTATAAAAAAATATGTTTATAAATCTGTTTAAATGTCATGTCAAACAGGCCTTAAATTGAATTCTGAATTGTTGCTGGATATGGGCGTGTGGCCCATCTTTGAACCTCTTAAATGTATGTGCCTTGTATTCAGTGGAGTTGTTACAAGTAGGGGTGTGCATGAAGCCCAAATGCCCGCAGAGCCCGCCCGAGCCCGAAGAAAAATTACTCAGCCCAACCCGAAAAAAAAGAGCTCGAAAAAGAATGGGCATCTTTGGGCTGGGCATTTCATGGGCAGGGCTGGGCATCGGGCAGGACATGCTGCCCTGCCCATTTGGCCCTGCCCAGATTATATATATTATAATTTATAAAATAATATTAATATATTACATTTCTTTACCTAAAAAAAAGTTATCTCCCTCCTCTTTGCAATTTAACTTATTATTATTACATGTCTATTAGTTTTCTATTTTAGGGGATCTAATTCTTCTAAAGAAGCAGTAGTATCTTGTTTTTAACTTGTTCTTCGTGAGCTTTATTGTGCATATCCTATTATTTGTTGTTGTTGTAGTGTTGG